GGCCAGGTCGGGACTCCGAGACCCTGCCCCGGATGCCCGTAGTCTAGATCCCTTCCTCCATCCCCTCTAGACTAGCCCCAACAGCGGAAATTCCCCAACCCAGCCCTTCCCCGAGTCCCGAAACCCAGTCCTTCGAGTTCTCTCCCCTAAACCTTTCCCAAACAGCCCCTGGGCCGGAGTCAGAGAGGTAAGCGGCCACTGCCGCTCCAGGGAGAGCTGCGGGAGACAGCATGTCGCCGGAGGGGCGGAGGCCCTTGGGGACTGGGCCGGGCTGGAGGGGCGCGGGCTCTTTCGCAGTGTGCACCCACCCCTGGGGCTGCGGCCGCGGGCCACGCATCACCCGGTGCAGACGGCAGGGGGCAGTGCGCCGCTACCCTGAGTGCAATTGCCAGCAACCTAGGACCCCCTTCTGCCCCCACCCCCACCAAGCAGAACTGCGCACGCGCACTGGGAGCTCCCGGGAAGCCGCGGTCAATGTTGCCCTCTACAGAAACTCCCAAGCCCTGGCTGCCTTCGGCTCACTCCAGCCTGGAAAGACTTTCTTATTCTCCCAAACTGAATAGCCACTCTTCCCTCAAACCACAGGGAATGCTACACACCTTTTCCACGAAACCGAAGAGAACCTAAGGAATTCCCAGTAAACTAAGAGCGAACCACCTAACTTTGGTGCATTCGTCTTATCTCGCCCCAGAGGAAGATTGTCTCATTTTCATTCAAGCTAAGGAGCACCAACCCACTTATCCCAAACTGAGGGTAGGAATATGTACTACCTGCCTCCTCAAATTGACTCATCCTATTCTTTTTCGAGAAAGAGCAACTCGTCCTTCTTCCCACTACTTAGGGGAACCGATTCTGCTCTTCCTTCAAACAGTGGAATCTTATTTTCATTTTGTGCGCCAAACTGAAAGGAACCCCCTCTTAACTGTTTTCCCGAAGTGAGGGAAATACTTACATTGATATCTCAAACTGTAGGAATTGGGGCCTAAACCAGGCAGAACGGACCAGCCACTGCCTAAAGAAACTTCCGCCCCACTGGCCTAGCGAAACTCAGCCTCATCGACCCCTAACCCTAAGAAAGCCTCTCCCGCACCCTCCTAGCTGGGGCAAGCAGTTTTCCCGCCTCCTAGTGGGGAAACTAACGGGATCGCGCCCGGCTCTCCGAGTGGCTGGTGTAAGCCCCGCCCCTGGCCGTGTTACCCCTAGCGCGCTTTCAGGGCCGCGTCTTGGCCACACCCCTTCCTCGGCCCCGCCTATCTGGCTCCGCCCCTCCAGCAGCGTCCGGTGCAGCCCGGCCCAAACGGCAGAGCCAGTCTAGGCGAAGCTACCCCCTGGCAGGGACTCTGAGGTGCGCGGTGTGAGCCGGTGGCCGAGTCATGGCGGGCGGGGAAGATCGCGGGGACGGGGAACCGCTATCAGTGGTGACCGTAAGGGTGCAGTACCTGGAAGACACCGATCCCTTTGCATGTGCCAACTTCCCGGAGCCGCGCCGGCCCCCGACCTGTAGCCTGGATGGAGGGCTGCCTCTGAGTACGCAGATACCTGCGCTTCACCGCCTGTTGGGGGCGCCACTCAAGGTGAGGTTGGTGGAGAAAGGTTGAGGCGATTGGGGATTCAGTGTACGCGCCGTGAAAGCCGGTGGGAGGTGTCTCTCGCGGAGAAGCAGGACGGAGTTCTCTGTCTGGAGTTGTAGGATCCTCTGCGAGGGGGTGGGGCTCTCAAGTTGGGGTCTCAAAGAGAGATGGGAACTGGTGGTTCTCGCCAACCCTGAATGCCCCCTCAAAATGAGGTCCTCTGAAGAGGTTCCCGGAGTCGGCCCTCTGCCCTCTGCCAGGGTGGTTGCCTTAGGCAGGGTGACTGCAGTAGATCAGACTGCTGCGGACCTAGGAGGCAGAGCTGGGGAGGAAGCTGTTTCCACCTGCTTCAGGTGAGGCGGAGGCGGGACCACGAAGAGAGGCGGACCCAGGGCGGGCCTGTGGAGGTGGCTTGGGCTGGGGCGGTGTCTGAAGGCTGGGTTGAGTCGGTAGGACCGAATCTCTCCGTTGTAGGCTCGGGCTGGGAGGAATAGCCAAGAAGGGATTCCACGGAGTGAGGGGAGTCCGCAGGGAGCGGCGAGCCGATGCTATGCGGAGGACTGGAGGAGGCACGGGTGGAAAAGCCCTTTGAGTCACCACCCCTACTACCTTCTACACCTGCAAGAAGAGACCAGTGCCTAGAAGGGAGGCGGCAGGCCCGGCTAATTTTAAACCGCCGAACTGCCCTAGTTTGTCCAGGTCCCAAGGCTGACTTTGCACTACACGGGAGAGGCGCTTTTCCAGATGGCCGGTCCGACCTCCACTTCGGCTCGCGGCCTTCAGCCCCCCGCAGGCAGCCCTTTCCGGCGCGCTGTTTCCGGGCCAGGACTCTGGGAGGCGCACTGCCACCCCTCAGTATTCTCCGCCAGCCGGGAGTAGTGGGGAAGAGGAGGGATGTCGGTGGGGGTGGGGTGCCTCAGCTGTGCTCTGAGTTGCGCAAACTTGCCCCTTTAGCCCGGGGTCTCCCCTGGAATGTGCCCCGGGCACCGGGCCCCGGCCTGCATTCCTCGCACAGCCCCGCCTCTGCCTCCCGGTACCGACGGGAGTGGTGCTTCAAGGCCACAGCTGAAAAGATGCAGCACACTGCCCACCTCTGTTGTTTTGATGTGGCCCCTTCTTGTTCTTCGCGATTAAGGTGACAAACAAGTGGATTTCGAAGAAGTGTGTCCAGCCGAAGGCCACCTGCCATTCAGAATAGGGAGAAAGGGGTGCCAAGCTGAGGCTGGTGAGGCTCCTGGAATTTATGGCTCAGAAATAAGGAAAGAATGATAGTATTCCTCCTATTTCCCTACTATAGGACAGGACCTTGTCTCTATGCTCTTCACAGCTGGGGATAAGTCTGGGAGATCAGCTGCAGAAAAGAGGCTGGGAACCATCCCTTCTCTTTGAGAAGTCTATCTCCTACTCATGCACAAGGCCCTGGGTTGGATTCTCTGCACCAATTTTGGGGGCATTTCCTCACGCCACCAGGTGCCTGTCATCTGCTCCCTAGCTGAGGACACCACTGAGCTCCACAGAGAATATATCAACTCAGGGTGTCTTGGTCTGTCCCTTTTCAGGATCTCCCACATGGAGTATCTAAGGGCTGCCCCTTTCCCGCATTGTGAAGATTTGGGAACTGGACAGGCACACTAAGTTACAACAGTGCTTGGACTCCCTGGAGTTGGCAGCTTTTCCAGGAATGGTCAGATTCACTATGATGTACTTGTCCCAAATATAAACTGTGACCACAGACCCAGAATAGAAGGCTGGAGGAAGAAGGACTGAGAATAGGGCAGAGTAGGAGACATCAGAGAGCTAACGGAGAGGGGAGCAGGGCTCCTCTTTGCAGGAAATGTCAACAGCTGGTTCCTCCCCTCGTCTTATGAGTGGGTGCCCCAGAAGCCCAGACATGACTCAGGGCTGCCTTCCTAGCCTTCTAGAAGGGAGAGACAGCCCAAAACCCAAGTATCCCTGTTCTAGGATGTGGAACAAAATTAAGAGGGAGGGGTTCTCTATCCACTACTTCATCCTGGATACCGTTGTCCAGGATCCTGTGTGCAGTTGTCCAGGAGAGGACAGGAGACAGCCAAAATACTTCTGCCCTCCCACTCTGGGCTTTGGCCTTTATCATCCCTGCCCCCTTCCCGGGTGTGTATAGAGGCTGGCCCTTTCTCTCTGGGGCTCCACCCCCACTCCCCATTGGCCTTAGATTTCCCCTGGGGCTCCCTTTCAAACCACGTGGAGCTTGAAGATCTGAGAAAGCCTTGCTCATTTCCTCCAAGTCTAGGAGGAAGCTCCCAGCCACAGCCTCTGACTCATCTCCTGGCCTTATTGGTTGGGGGACTCTAGCAGTGCCTTGGGTCAGGCTTTGTGTCCCCAGAGGATCTCAGAAGTGTTTGTCTTTCATTTGTGCAAAAGACTCTCCCAGCCCCAAGGACTTGTTCCTACCCCAGGGGAGAATTGGCTCTCTGGCATCTTATCTCCAAGCCTAAGGACTTGCTCCTAACCCAGGGGAAAATTGATCTGGCATCTTATCTCCTAAACCAGAGTCCCACTTTCTTTTCTGGAAGAGACTCAGGAGCCTCCTCTGAGACCCAAAAGCCCAGCCACATCTGGAATAACTGACTTTTCCCTAGGCTCTGGGAAGAGGAACCCAGGGTGCTTCTTTGACTTTCCTGTAAAGGCTGAAGGAGTCCTCTCTTCCTAGAAGCAGGGATAGCTCTAGGAATCTGCTCCTTACCAGTAACCTTGTTTCCCCAGATAATGGTGGCTAAAGATCAGAGTAAGACAGAAGATACTATACTGGAATATGTCCTGATTGTTTTCCAAGCCGCCCACTCCAGCCTGTATTCTTCTGGATCCCTCATGGCAAGGGGGCAGAGTATGAACCCGATATCTAAGATAGAGACCAACTGAAAGGGTCCTGAGGTTTCTTTGTGTGGCAGGGGTCTCTGGTAATGAACGGAGCTCTTTAGTCCCCTTTTAGAGTCTCTTTGGAAGACTAGAAAATTGGGGTGTGGGCCTGAGTTGCTTTGTCTGAAGCCAGCATGTTCCATCTGCTGGTCTTTCTGGACTAGAGAAGCTAGGCTGGTGAGGGACCTTAGGGCCCAGGTCCTTGGTAGTGTTACCCTAGCCTATATGTTTATGTGTTCATTTGTGTTTCCCTTGCTAGAACTGGGAGGACCAGTTTGGGGTATTTGCAGAGTCCAGGAGGCTGAAGGGGCAGTCTCTAGCCCTCACTCTACCTCCCCTTCGGGGTTCCCTGGAGCACTTTCAAGGCACATCTGCCCAAGATCTGGGTCAGTTAGCTGTGTCACCTGGAGCGATTCACTGAATTTCTGAGTCTTGATTTCCTCACCTATAAAAAGATTAGCAGGAGGACCAGGGATTTAGCCCATGGTGCCACTGCCTGCCTCACAAGTGC